CCCCAAAACCCCAAAACCCCAAAACCCCAAAACCCCTAAATACTATAAAAATTATGGATACGATGATTATTATTATTAAAAATTATTAATCATATGGGTTTAGTTCCTGATATTTTGTTGTGTAGTTGGGAGTACCGAAATTTTGGAGGTTCTACCTTTAATGAAACACTTTGAAGTGAGTTATGTTTAATAGTGTTAAACAAAAATTGAAATCTCTTCATTCATTCCAATAGTTTAAGAATATCAAGCATTGGTCTCTGATTTATAGCTTTATGACCAAACCCCTTATGAATATCTGTTGGAACAAGATAGAGTCCATTTGTTTAAAAATCGTGATGCCAAGTAAACCCTTTTTGTAAGATATATTTAGTGCTTTATGTTTTTTCATTCCATCTTTCATTATAAAACTTTTGTAAATAACTATAATTTTGAGGGTCTTTTGTAAATAGCAATATAGTTTTATCGTTTACTTCTTTTATTTCTAGTGTTTTAAGTCTTTCAATTCTTTAATATTAAGTTTTCAATTTTGAATTGTTTAGAATATTTTAAGCCATTTATTAATGTTCATGCTTAGTAATAGGTTAGTATATAAAGCTGTGTTCATCCATTCTAGGATTTGCATATTTATCAAATCTCATTGTGACCTGCTTCCCAGCTATTATTTTTGTTAATGAGCTGTTTTGCTAGTGAATATTAGGAGCAGCTCTTTTTTTATCAAATCCCATAGAAGGAATATTACTTTTAATAATAGCACCAGGATAAATGCTTTGAAGCGAAAGCGCATGCATAAAAGGGTTGTTTTCAGCAAGTCTGCTAAATTCTTCTTTTTATTTTTCTACATTGTCCAAATTATCAAATTATTATTGCTAATTTTCTCTCCAAGCTTAAGTTTTATTTTTAGCTTTAATGTCTCTTCTTTTTTCTGACAGTATTTTTTTTTCTTCTTCATATTAATAATTTCTTTTGTTATTTTTCTATTAGCCATTTTTCAATAAATTTTGGTCAGCCTTTTATGTGGCATACTGCATAGCTCCTTAAATCTTTTTCATAAAATAAGTTCCAAATTTAGATTTGCTTAGCAAATAAAAAAGATCTTCTTTTAAGTTGTTTAAGATCTTTTGAAATTTTAGTATTCTAAATAACTGCTTGCCTAAAGCATTGATAGGTCGCATAACAAACCTTCCTATCGCATTTTAAACAATTTCAATTCCAATAACTCTCATAGCCCCTATTAACCCATTTTCTTTGTATGATTCATAAAGTGTCTGAGCAAAAACTGCAGAGTTATAAATAAGCATTATTTTACTAGCAACAGCAATCAAGGTATGAAGAAAATTATTTTCAACAGCTTTCTAAGCTTAGTAAGCTCCAATGTCAACATCCATACCAAGAAATAAAGTAGAAAGTGCGCCAAGGAAAACTCCGTATGTCTGAGATTTTTCAGCGATAGCTTAAATTTTTTAGTAATACATTTCATCAAAATCATCAATTTCACTTAACTCGAAGTCTTTAATTGCTTCGGAGAATATTTCAGCCGACACTGCTCCTACAAGTCCAGAAAGAGCTCCTTACACGGGATTCTTAGGATTAAGAATAGCACCTACTCCTAAGCCCACAAAGCCATGCAAGGCTTTGTGTTGGAAGTAATCAATTTTGTTGTCTGAATATTGTTTGCCTATTTAGGATGTCAATTGGGAGCTAGCTACAGATGCTAAAAATTGCAAGACTCCATCCTTTAGTACGTGTTCAATATCCTAGCCCTTAGCTAAATTAACAGCTGAGCTAATAGTCGTTTCAACTAAGGATATTTTCATAAAATCTAAAAGCTCCTTGTTTTTGTTTATATCTATTTATGAGAGAACTTGATTAGTAGCTTGACTTACCAAAATATTTTAGACTATTGTTTAAATAGTATCTAATGAAAGAATATTCTTAAAAGCGTCTTAGAGGTTAAAATTGCTAGCTATCAGTTCTTTTGCTGTGATTGTACACAGTGATGATAATCCTTTTGAAATAATAGAAATCATTACTTTGTGTTAAGCAATGATCCAGCAAAAGTGTCGAAAAAAGGTGCCAAAAATAGAGAACTTGCAAGCATTCCGATAGCAACAACACCAGGACCTAATGAGGTATGTAGACTTTGTTCATAATTATGTTCCTCCTCAATAAATATCTTTTCAATTTGCTCGTCTTTTAGCTGCTTCAAGAAAGGCAGCTATCTTTCTAGGTTCTTTATGATTTATATTTTAAACTGGCTTTCAGATAAAATATTCCCATTGATTTAAGGAGCTGAGTAAGTTAAATGAGACTCAGAACTTCGGAATGATCGAACTTAAAAAGCATTAATCATGAAGCTTTGGTAATTGCTCCAATTGTAGTTTCTGCCCTATAATATTTCAACGCCTTCTTTAGCATCCATTACTATTTATTCACCTTGAATTTTAGGATTTACGAGCTTTATAGAGTCAAAAATCATTTCGATATCATCCTTTTTTGAAATACAGATAGGGCCGAGTGACCTCGATTAACCTATATCTGACGTTCTTACTCATGATCCTGTAAGACCACTTGTTTTTGTATTTGTAATTACCTAGTCGATTTCTTAAACATCCAAAAATTATAATTTATCACCTTTAAAGCTGACCTTGCCAACAGCCTCAATGAAAGGAGCTTCAAAACTCTAGGTTCCAGCAGAATTTAAAGTGATTTGTAAATTAGCTTTTATTTCATCTCTCTTATATCTTCTTTAGAATTCAATTTTCGCTAAATTTTTTGAGCCAAAGAGTCCACTAGACTTTTTATGTGAAGAAATGTGTCTATAGTCAAGAGATTCTGGGATACTTGTTATACCTCCATTTTAGGACTTAAAGTGCAGAGAACCTTCATTTGCTTAGGTCAAAGTTGCCTTTTAAAAAATTCCTTCTTTGCCTTCAAGATAACCGTTTCCATGCTCAAGTAAGATTGTATTTTGGCAGGCTATGACTTCTTCAATAGTGTCTGGAGTATAATATTTAGCATTATATTTCTCAGATTATCTAACTAAATACTTTCCTGCCCTTATTTGCAGTTTAATTTCTTTTCTATCTTGTACGTTATTACTTAGTGCTGTATCTCTCTTTTCAAGAATGATCCTAGAATTCTTCAGCATAACGTTTTCTTCAGCTGTAGCCTTCAAGCTTTTAGATGCAATGATTCCAAACTAAAACTTAGTCTAGAACTTTTGCGGAATAGCGAGATATGGAACCATCAAACTTTAATTCAATGTTGAACGAATGTGCTGTGAGAACCAAGCAATTTGCATTTGCTCTGCTCTTCATAGCTCTTCAGGACTCTTAAATGATTAATTAGATTTGTTGTAGAGTAAGCATTCACGAAGGTCTTGGCCTGATAAGCCTTCATAATTTAAAGAATTCATTCCTGTCAAGACTTTTTATAGAACCATTTCAAGAGGGTACTGTTCAACTGCTTCTTTAAAGGCTTTCTCGTTCCTTAATGTCTAAATATTCAGCTTGTCTAAATCGAGAGAGCTTTTGCTTTTAATATGAGGGCATTAGATGACTCCTGTAGTGAGATCTTCTTTAATTAAGCCACCAGTCATTGATTTTGCTGCTTCATACAAGTTTATTACTATTTGTTAATCTCTATCAGCATGCGAGTTAAATTTGTTTTGATTTACAATGATATTTTGAGCCTTAATTTTGATAACTGGAGCAGCTGCTGTGCCTCCTTCAAATTCAAATAAAGAAGAAGCTATTTAAATTTTGGATCCAGATATAATTACAGAATTTGTAGCAGGCACTCGATGATCATGACAGTGATATTCCCCAGTCACATAATTATTTTCATCATACCATTAGAGTCTTGAATGATTGATTACACCTGAATTAATTCCTGAGTATTCTCTATTATTAAACGTAATATTTTATCCTGCAGATATTACTCCTAGATTGTTTATAAGCTGTTAACAAACTAGATTAATGCCAACTAAAGAACTTAAAGTTGGTGGATCACTGCATTCAAGTCTATATTTTAAGTTATGGTAATGACCAAAACCATATGCAGGAAAGATTCTTTGTCCAGCCCTGTCGAGTTTAATTTCTTTCACATTTGCATTTATTGATTTACTGCTGTATACATTGCCACAAAGATTATAGAGCATGTCACCTTGAATTGTTAAGTTACCCTGAGTCATAATTTCGCCGTATTCATTTTTAATTTATTTGCACTCTATATGAAGGTCAGAAGTACTTATAATTCCAGAGCCGTTAAGATAACAGTGCTAATAAGCACTTTCTTAATAGCGAGAACCCCCGTAGGAAGAATTTATATTTCCATTTGGGAATAATGGTGCTCTCTATTGATGCATGAGAGCTCCATTTAAAAGTTCTTCAGATTTGATACATAAAGTGTCATTCGAAGCTATTACTCCAAATCTATTATCAATAGTTTGAGCATCTATTGTGAGTTTTCCATTGACTTGCAAAGTTGCCTACCTATTATTATCAAGCCCATTAATCATCTTGACTAATCTCAAATTCAAATTCTTAAAAAGAACCCATTAACCATAATTGGCTAACTCTTGGACTTCTAAAACTATAGATTTCTGTGTTTCAAAGATAATTTCTTGAGGGATTTCAATTTTCTTGGCATAAATTATATAAGAGCCGCCGTATTCAATATTATTAATTGCTATATTTATCTACTCAGGGGTTATACATAAGTCCCTCCATCTATAATCTTTAACGTTTTTTAATGTCCTTAGTTCCATGGGAATAGTTTAATCATTAATAATTATATCATCACTACATTCTATTTTTCCTTCTTGTTTAAATGATTGAATTGGGATAAAATCAGGCTAAGTAATAAGTTTGTTTACTTTTGATAAGTTCCAAGTTGATCCTAATAGGGTGATAGTTCCTATGTTCTTAAGTTCTTATATTTCATATATCCCGTGCTCAGTTACGAAATCATTTTCATTAAGAAAGTCATTAATTATCCATTTATCTCCTTATGAACTTTGAGCAAGTCCTTTGTTAATAAATTATTTCATGATTCTAAGAGATGAAATTTCGTTAACTAATAACTTAGATCCTTCTTAATTAATTAAGTTGTGGGAAACTATGTCGCATTTAGAAATTATCATATCATCATTGTTGGTGATTTAAATAGACTACAAATTTGAATTTAAAATATTCAGTGTCCCTTCATTAATTATGTATTTAATTTTACATAAATGCGTGATACTTTTTATTTCTAACTAGCCTTCATTTTGAATTTTTTAGGCTTCTACTATTCCAATATCTATAGTTTTATCAAGTTCTTCAATAAAAAGCCTATTCTTATTGATTATTTCTCCACAATTGAGAATTTGTAAGGAAATAAAGCCTTCATTGAGAAGACTTGCTCAGTCAACAACTAAAGTTTTTGTCGTGATTTCAGATTGCTTTTTAATCAAAATCTAATCAAACTCTGAGGATATGAGCTTTAAGTACTATGTTTCAATTTTAGCATGAGCTTCTATTTCTTTAGCTGTAATAACTAACGATTATATCTTAATATTTCCGAGCAATAGCTTATATGAGGGACAATAAATTTCAATCTGGTTAATCTTGTCTGACGAGCCAGATAAGTAATAAGAATCTTGCCCTTAAACTTTATAAATATTAAAGATATGGGAACTATCAAAGTCTAAAATAGAGTACTCTTATCTCTCTTGTGTAGTTATATAATTCACAGCGAGAGGTGAATCGTTAACACTGCATTTAATGCCGAGTCTATCTATAGTTATTTTCATTTTTATTGTGCAAAGATATTTTATTTATCAAATATTAAACTCTTAAATAAAACTAAAATTTTGGAATAGAGGGGTTTTGGGGTTTTGGGGTTTTGGGGTTTTGGGG